TGACAGATGACAGTTGATTTATGATTGGACGAATTTAGGTGTTCAGGCTGTTTAAGTCAGAATGCTTTGACATTTAAATACGACTTCCCTACGACTTTAATAATAAGCTGATTCAAAACAACTAATCGAAAACAAACATAATCAATACCCCGCCAGCAGGACATGGTAAGTGTTCATAAAAACATTGTTTGCAACTCAAATGAATTAAAAGTGTATAAAAAAAGTCAACGAGTCTATGAGCCTTTAAAGAAGTTATTGCACTGAAACTGTTGCCATGGGAACTAGTGGGACCGACTTGGATTTGACTCAAACTAGCTGTATGTGGTTCAGTGTTGGTGTAGCGCCGCTTACGTAGCTGATTCCAGCTGCTCTCTTAGACACGTGATAAAAGGAGCTTCTGATGTAAAACAGAGCCACGTGGAGTCGATGCAGCAGAGCAACGCTCTGCTGGATCCCGTACACGGCCGGCTGGCACGCTCTCCTCTGCTGCTCCGTCAGCAGCCCCACCGCCCGCCGCACTCCTGCCCTGAGCCAACGCTCCAGGCTCCACCATCCCGATGCTGCATGGCGCCTGCCGCCAACACCGCCGCGCATCTCCTGCCTGCCTTCCAGCTCGTTCTCCAGACACACCAGGGCTTTCTGTAGGAGGTACGGAATGACGGCATGGCAGAGCACAAACAGGCAGCGCCGGCCCCGCGAGGGGATCCGTCGTTTGGAGGGGTCCACCTGGACGATACCCACGTACTCCTCTCCCAGAGTCTGATAACCTGCAGTACGAACATCAGTCAGTGAAAAAAAACTTCATCCATTTGATGTCAAAGCTCTACTTGCAACCTTAATAATAACCTGAGAGGGTCGTTAATCCATAGTAGGCCAAATCTGACAGCAGCTCTATCTCCCTCCTCCAGTCCAGCCACCGTTTGGATCCTAAAGGAAAGGAGAAAAACACACAGCGAGGGCTGAAACAATTAATCGCATTATTTATAATCGATTATTGAAATAAACATCAACTTATTTAATAACCGATTAATCATTAAATGGAGTATAGACTGTATAACGTGCCTTTAGTGACAGAGCGGCTCACTTAAGAGCAGTAATTATATCAGAATTGTAAATAATATATATATAATAATATATGTGTATAAAACATTCTGAATTTAAAATAAAAAAAAATAACTTTTTTGTCTGTGAATATGTTAAACTCCTCATCTAAAATTTTTTTATTTTCACCTGGTTCAATTTAGTAAAAAATCTTCTTTAAGGAAATTTTGGTTGTCGATTATTAATCGAAAATATAATCGACAGATTTGTGGATTTGCTAAATAATTGGTAGCTGCAGCCAAACACAGAGCTCACTTCTGTCAAGGATTCATGCTAAAGACGCCATCAAACCAGAAAGACAAAACGTTGTTAAACAAACCAGACTGGACTGAAACAGACATGTATCAATAGAAGAGGTTTACTCTGTTATTGTTTTAGCTTCACAGCCTGGGCAGGCTGTGGTGACCAGGCAGAAATCTCTAGAACTTGAGATGCTTCTATGCTTCTATGAACAGACCAGTTCCTTTTGGCTCAGAGACTCCAGGCTTTGTGTTGCTGGAGGATTTAATGAGCTCAGATCAGAGCAGAGACTTCAGGTTTAACCAGCAGGTGGATCCATCGTGACCTGGAGGTTCTCACTCTTTAATAGCAGCAATTACTAGAAATGGGTCCAGCAACAAAGAAACGCCTGTGCATTTATCGACAAAACACTGCATCAGTGCGTGTGTCGTTTCAAGGAAGTCATGTGACCGACGCAGGAGTTGTTTCTAACTGATTTAAAAACGTATCCGTCAACATGATGCATCTGCTAAAAAAATGTCTCATCTTTTGCAGTTTATCATTAAAATGATCAAGTATATTGGAGCCTAAAAGGAATAGGGACCTTTCAGCCTTTGCGTTATTTTAATTTTCTCGTTGTGTCGTCATACTTTTCCTCTCGGTTATCGTTCATCCTATCTGAATTAAACTTGATTTCAAATTAAATCTTCGTTTATTTACTGTTTTTACTGGACTTATTGTTTTAAAATTATAATTTAAAAACCTAGTTCACAAGCATCCTCAGTCACATTTACCCCTAAATTTTTACTTTAGGATATATGTTTACATTATTTATTGGCTGCAGCTAAAAATATCAAAGATGTTTTCAGTTTAAACATCGATATAAAATAAAACAATTCAACCTACAATAATTTAAATGATATTATTGCACTAGGTCTTCAAATGAAATCAATTTAGTTTAGTCTGTCAAATGAGCTGCCTGTAGTGTCTTTAAAGGTCCAGCAGGTGTCAGTATTCTGTGAGACAGTATCATTGGTTTGGTAATGTGTGAAACGCTTCAAGATGCCTCATTAACCCATCACTAGCAAATATTTAACAAAAATAATGGAAAATAAAGAAAATCACACATCTGATGTAGTTAAATTAAATAAAAAAGGGAGGATATTTGGCCCTGTTGCACTTTGTGAATAGTCCATGCATTTGTTACTTGACTATTGTAATTCTTTACTATCAGGAAGTCCACAAACTGTAGCTAAAAGCCTTCAGCTG